TAAAGATCCAAACAGGAAGAAAAATGTTTAGAAACACAATAACATTTTTGGTAAACGAAATTCAAGGTATAAATTATAAACGTCATCACTCAAAAGTCTTAGGCAGAGGTGGTTAGTTATAAAGACGAGATCTGCGTCTTTCAAGGAAAGTGAGTAATAGGTTCTGAAATTTCTCGAATAATTCTCTTTCTAGATTTTTCGAGGCGAATCATGAGTAATCTTAGAAGACAGTCTGAATCCGATTATGGAAGAAGTGAATATTTGGCAAAAAAGAACTGAAGAGGTCTTTATCACTCTTTGAAAGACAAGTCTGAGTTCAGAACCTACACATTAAAAACGAAGTGCTAGGTACAACATAAAGTGTTACAACACTTCCTAACTGTGCAAACAGGACAACTATACAAGTGTCGATTAACAACTCCACTTTCTATTTGAACCAGTAATCCTTTAACTCAGAAATATTTATTCTACATCGTTTGTTTCTTATGAATTTCGCGCAAAGTTACACGAGGGCTATCTGCGCTAGCCGTCCCTAATTTAGCAGCGTAAGACAAGAGGGAAGGCAGCTAGTCATCACCACCCACCGCCAACTCTTGGGCTACTCTTTTGCCAACGAATAGTGGGATTGACAGTCACATTATACGGCTGAAAGGGCGAGCATGCTTGGTGGAACGGGGATTCGAACCCGCGACCCTCAGATTACAAGTCGAGCACCCTAACCACGTGGCCACGGAAAAGGAAACTATCTCAAAGATTTGGTGATTGCACAATTTAGGAACAGTGAATGAATAAAGAAAGATGTTTTTTTTTTCATACGTTTTTGATTACACTTTGTGTCGCACATTTAGTTAATGATTTAACTATCGTAACTTCTATGTTTATAAATAGTAATGTTGGTATTCGTCAATAGTTAACGTTGATTATAAAATCTTAATGTACTAAAGTAAGGAAATTTACCTGAGCTGCTAGAAATACACTGGCTGATCGAAGATCAAAAGAAAAACTGGCTGGTAGGAGATCAGAACAGAGGAAACCAACCTGCAGTAACTTTCAGGTCGATCTTCTCGTCTCCGTTCTGTACATCAAAGTTAATCGGAAAGCTATAAACTTCCTTGTACCAAACTTGAGTTTTTTAAAACGCACATGTGATATTTCTGGAATATTCGTAATCTACAGGTGTTGTATTCGCTGCTCAGCAAATGTGTAAACAACTCCACACTTGTCAGCCAAAAAAAAACTCTTTTTTTAAGTTGTTTCGTGATGATATGAATCGAAGCAGCAGCGGTCTGTTCTAGTGGAGATCGGTGGGCGAGACATTGTGGGTCTCAGTCGCGTATATATTTGTTTTTAAGCATAAAGCTACACAATAGGGTATCAGTGCTCTATCCAATGTGGGTATCTAAGCCCGATATTTTAGCATTATAAGCCTTCGGACTTACCGCTGAGCCAACAGGTAGCATAAGAGAGAGAGAGAAAGTCGTACGTTATGTAATGTTTTATAAATAACATAATATTTAGGGACAACAAGGAACCTATTGGTCCATCTCGGCTGTCTCATCCTCTAAAGTAAAGTAAAACTATCAAATAAATAAATTAAAAAAATATACAAAATAGAATAATATTAAAGCCCACCCTTATCATTCATATAGTTATCAAGCTTTCTCTTAAACTCACAACATCCAATGACAACCAATTTCTTACCTGAAGATGACTCCTACCTTGCCAAAACTTATATTTATATCCCCTAATCCTACTTTTCTCACCGTTAAATATGGAAAAAGATGATGCGTCAACACTATCGATTTTTTTTACAGTCTTAAATACCTCAATCACATTCCCTCTAACTATTCATATAAGCATATGAAGCGTTTTTGCTTTTGTGAAGCGTATTTGGCAGAAGCGTACTGTGTATTGAAAGGATCATAATTATTTGTAAATACATACGGATATTTCAGATTATGCTGAGACTGACTGGGATTCTTCGATTATGTCACCATAGCTTCAATGTTCATAAACAGATTTGGAGATACACTGATACCTGAGCGTCAATACAAGTCTTTCCTGTCGACCGTACAGGTGCTTGTCTGAGCGTGAACTTATCTTTGATTATGTTGTTTGTCGTAAAGGTTGTGATTGTTTGGAAAGGTGTGTCCAGTCTTTTTTGTTTTGTGTAAAGACTCAGTCAAAGATAGTTTTCTTGGTGCACTGCTATATATAATGTATCTGCATTCTGTCCACCACGGGGAATCGAACCCCGGATTATAGCGTTTTAAGTTTCTAAACGTTCCACTGACCCATCGCGGAGAGAAGCTAGTGATGTTAATTGTAGTAACAGAAATGTTATAAGGTCATGATGTATTATCTTTTACTCTAACTACCTCTCGTGCTTTAGGACAACCAACGGCTGTCAACTCAAGCCAATCATCAAATCCAAATAATTAAATTCATTAACCTACCAAGCATCAAGTAATCAGTTCATTACTCCTAACTATAATCTAACAATTAAAGATAGTTTGTTTATGATCGAATTTAAACCTCGACTTTCAAAATTGAAACATTTTTTTACTTGTAATATTTATCCTCAAAGAGACCCAAGGAATTAGCGATTGTTCGACGGATCTAACAAATTTATTTTAAACATCTAATTCGTGTCGCATCTGGATTTTTTTTCTACGTTCTTGTATAAAAGCCCACTATTGAATCTTTCATCATAGCTGAAACTGTTTTAAGCAGGTTTAATCTTAGTTAAACATCATACATACTGTTGCGTCAGCGAGGTCACGTGACTAGTATCACGCCACCCGTTTTCTAGAAATATCCTGTTCCTTCGAGAGTGTCCTCGCATTTGCTAGATTGGGGGTGGCCTGGTATATATAAGATGGTCACGGCGTGACGGGACAATGTGTAGGTAGTGAGTAATTGAACTGCAGTCAGAGAGTATTGTTGAAGTTAACGTTCGT